GGCCGCCGGAGCCGGCCGACGGCCGGGAACGGGCGCACCCGGCACGCTCCCCCCCGCGCAGCCGGCCCCACCCCACGCACGGGCCATTGTGTTCGGTGCGCATGATATTGCTGGTGTGCGTCCCGCGCCGGACCCGACCGAGACAAGCATTGGTAGTTGTGGCGGCGCGTAGCCCCCCCCCCCTCTGCCCGCCCTCTCCTGGCCGGGCGTCGGGGCTCGTGCACGGGCGCATGGCGTACCGATGCCCGGGAGACCGGGGGGGAAGGGGGCGCCGGTTCGGGCAGCGGCCGGGCCGCACGCCCGGCTGACCTCCACCCCGGGCGCCCGGCGCCCGGGGCCTAGCGGGCCGCGCGGCCGCCAGAAGAAGACTAGTCTCCCGGCCGGTGCGGCCCGCGCGGCCCGTGCCCGTATATGCCGCGGCATGACACTGGACCAGGCGTTCTGCCCCGTCTGAGCGCGCACGCATGGCCGGGGGACCCCCGAGCGCGCCCCGGTCCCAGCCACTGGACCATCAGGCCGCGCCGGCCCGGGCCACTGTCCCCGAGTCATGGGCATGGGGACTCTTGGGCTTTTTTGTTCTTTTTATTTTATTATTATAAGTGCCCCGGCCCCTTCCCCTCGCCCGGAGGAGCGGCCCTGAGCGGGGCCAGCCCCGGGGGTGCGACGGCCGACGGTCCCCGCGGAGGGGCCCCAGGCCGGGTCGGCCGGGCGGGCGGGGGGGGGGGAGATGCCCCCGGGGGCCGCCGGCGTCGCCACCTCTGGCCAATATTTAAATCCTCCCTCCCGGGGGGGGGGGGGGGGATGGCTGCCCGGGCGCGCATGCGCATCCCCGGCCCAGGGGGGAGGGCGGACCGCGACACCACGTATTTGGGGGGGCGCCCCCTCGAGGTGCCGGGGGGGGGGGGGGGGGGGGGGGGGGGGGGGGGGGGGGGGCGGGGGGGGGGGGGGGGGGGGGGGGGGGGGGGGGGGGGGGGGGGGGGGGGGGGGGGGGGGGGGGGGGGGGGGGGGGGGGGGGGGGGGGGGGGACGCATGGCCAGCGCGGCTCGCCCCCGGAGGAGCAGTCGCGTGGGCCCGGCAGGTCATCCTGAGCCCCCCGCCGGCTGGCCGCCACCCGCCCGCCCGGGAGCGGTGGAAGGGGGTGCCCCCCCCCCCCCACACCCAGGGACGTCGTCGTGTGAGAGCGGGCGGCGGGCGGCGGGCGGCGGGGGGGCCACACAGGGGCAGAGAATGGCCACGCCTGCAGGTAAATATTTGCCCTGCCCGCCTTGCCCGCCCGCTCGCCACCGCACCACCACGCGCTCTGGCCCATCTCACCGAAGCCCCCCCCCCGCTCCGGAGGAAAGGGGCCGGGGGCGCCAGGGGGCGGCCGGCGCGCCTGGCCCGAAGTTCGCGGCAGCCGCAGGGGCGCTGGGGGGGGGGGGGGGTCCAGATCGCGCTCCCTGGCGCTTTTTCCCTTTTTTTCTTGCTCCGGCGGGGGCGTGGCCGGAGGGGCAGACCGCCTGCCCATGCCACGCCCCCCGGCCTGCCCCGCCCCCGCCAGGGGGGCGCGCCCGGAGAGCGTGGGCCTGCCAGATGGGCGAATGCGCAATCTCCCGGCCGGCTCGCAGCCTCGGCCGGCGCTCGGGCGTGCTTGTGTGCGCCGGGAGCCGGGAATTCCTCGGCCCGCCGCCCGGGCCACCCCCGCCCCCCCGGCCGACAGCCCGGCACCCGCTGGTCAAACTCCCTCGCGCCCGCTCTCGAGGGCGCCTGGGCTGCTCCCCCCCCTCCCCCCCCCCCCGCTCGGGTCTCGGCCGCGCCCCCCTGGCGGGCGACCGAAGCTGACGAAGCACATACTCCGGCACACAAGCACGCGCGAGCTTATTTACACACATGCTCACCCGCGGCCCGACACACCGAGGCAGACCGCGAGACGGACACGCATTCACCCCGCCCCCCTGCATCCACTCCTTTTACCGCCAGCCCCCGCCGCCCCCCCCCGGGCATTGGTTGGTAGTTGGAGCCCGAGGCCCTTTTCAGGCTCCCCGGCGCACGCGCGGAGGGCCGTGCACACGGCCGGCGCGTCAATCAGCCCCCCTCCTCCTCCAGCCCCTCCCCCCTC